GTTGAACACTGTCAAAGTTGTAAACTCTGAGTGGATGGTATGAGGCCACTTTGCTTAACCAATTTCAGAACCCCATAAGCAGGGACAGCCATTTTGATGCTAAGCTGTGTCTTGTGACAGTCAGCATAGTAAAAAGACCATTCTGTTATACTTCTGAGAGGTTGTGTGGAATTACACAGAGACTACTAGATAATGCCTCACAGGTTCCTCTATACCAGACCTCTGTATTCTCAAGAATCTCTTTAGCTGTGTCCTTTCACTAGTCCTTCCAGCATATTTCAGGGCACAGACACTACATGAATCATTTATAGAGCTTAATATAAGGGCCCAGCTGCTTTAAGTACTAAGGACTGATGCTGGTCATCCTCAAACTCCATACTGTTTCTTCTCTTACCAGTATTCTTGGTAAAACCGTATTCATGATTGCTCTTCAGGGACAACTGCTGGTCAAACCTATGCAGATATACAATCTTTGCTACCAGTTTCTAAATGAAATTATTCTATATAACTGCATAAAAATGCTATGCTAATATATAACTGTCCAAACAAACCTATACGTATTTCCTATCTCACCACTCAATTATTTTTTGCGTATAGTTTGAAGTACGCAAGAGAATCTGGGATTTCTTTCTGTAAACTTTTTCTCTGCCAGTAGTTCTTTTTATTTGAGTTTTTTACACACACTCAAATACATTGACTTTATAGGACCACTCTTGTTCTCTCTCTCTCAGTGCTTTTCAAGTTGCTCCACCGTTTTCTTTCAAAAAGTTTATACTTAGTCTTTTCAAATTTTTAGCCATCCCACTTCTCCAAGAGAGTCGCAGGAGAGCTTTTCATGTTAACAGCCTTCTACAATTACTTCTTTTAGAAGCTCTTGGAAGCAAAGAGATAAAGTAAAGAGCAATTAGCTTTACATTCAAAATATTTTTGAAATACGTATGTAGAGAATATCAGAAGTATCACACAGAATTCCAGACCGCCATGTAGAAAGACCCAAAACTGTCATTCAAAAGTCTTCTGCCAACTAACCATCTGTCATGCAGGTGCTGCAATAAACCTAACATTAAAACAGCTGGATAGCATTTCTACCAGAGTCATAAATGAACAAGGTGCCTATATTTAGATCCATTTGAAACATTTGCTCCAATTAAATTTATCACAAACACGATGTAGCAACCACAAGCAATTCTACAGGCAAATAGCCTTGAAACAGAAGTTACCAATTCTCCTCTGAATGCAGTGTGAAAAGATCTTTGCCACCTGAACGCTTTTCCATTAGAATGCGCTAGGTCTTAAAGGTTGGATAACCACAGAAATGGCTTGTGATATGCAAGTATGCATCTTCCCCTTCTCTATGTGCAATAGGATGTAACGCGCAGTCATTCGTATGCCACATTCTGGCCTGAACCCTATCCAGTACAGAGATAAGGCCTTGAGATAAGGCCTTGTTCACTGACTTCAAAACCATTTTGCTCAAGAAAGAAAAGGTGCAGTCCAGGTGGTAATTAACTAAGTCTATATATCTCATGGAGAGCTTCCTGCATACTGAACACTTGGGAAAAACATCCCATTCTGCCTACTGGAGTAGCATTAGTTTTCTCTGTCTAGGTGGAGTTGCCAGTGCTTTTAAGAGTATTTCAGAAAGCCCATGGTTCCAAAGCTGCAGATTTGAAGAGCTGGTTTCAATATTTTTAGATATACAAACATGAGAAAAAGGACAAATGGTTCTATGGCTGCAACCACATTACATTTCTGGTTCTCTAGAAACCACAGATCTGGTTCATTATCAGACATGTCTACTTTGAAGTGAGGCAGTGAACACCATCTAATTTTCAGCATACAGGTATACATAATTGACAAACTATCACTGCTGCTTTTTTGAGTAGTCTTAACAGATACTAAAAAGATTGAAATGTAAAGGAAATTGAAATGTCTATACTACATAGTTCCACTGTAACACCAGTCATGTTTAGCACAGAGAAAAGCCATGAAATCTCACACTGCTATAACACATGCAGAGGAATAAATCTATTTGGAAGTTTCCTGACTGATTTTTAGTACCTAGTGAACACACTTAAAAGGAGAAATGAGTCTTCCCGTTACAAGCATAGGTGATTGCAGTCACGAGTTGTCCTCCAAAACCAACTTCCTACCTACTATCCATCCATCTTAGTCTGGATTGCTTTCTGCCATCCATTGTGTCTGATAGAGAAACTAAGATGATATGTCTCCCAAAGTAAATCAGACTTTCATAACACGAAAAAAGCATGTTAGAGATATGTAATCCAATACTGCATAATATTGATAACTACCCTTTATGTATTTCAGCTATATAGGCTGCATTTTAAAATATTTTTCACAGATTACACATTACAGAAAAGTTGAAGCATCACACGAGGACACTGTTTTTAAAATAGTAATTTTTAAATTTGCTTCTTCCGCTTTTAGTAGAAAAACTAATAGTGGCCTAACTGTAACTATTTGAAGAAAAAAATACTTGATGATTCTTCTAAGTATTTTCCTGATTTAGAGATAAGCTTTCACATTTATATAGTGTATCCAGACGTTACATTAGGAGGGGCCAAATGTTATTTACACATAAAACACCACACAATAAGTGAACCATGCAAAAGGAGTAGAAAGCCCTTATCAGAACTATCAAAACAGGATCTAAATCAAAATGAAGCCAAAATAAAAGGAGAGAAATAGCAGAGTACAGTAATACAGTAAAGAGATACTCAGGAAAGCTCTCATATGAGTTTTAAAGTTTACACATTATTCCAGTTTTCACAGGGGTCAGTTTGACTTTTTATTTGTTTTCTTATCTCTCTCCATATGTATATATTTATGTATACCTGGTAATACTCCATAAATTGATGTTGTACATTTTTATTTACTGTAACTAAATGTAATTTAATTTGTAATGTACATTTTAAGTAATGTACATTTTTATTTAAACATTTTTTGAAGAATTCTATAGATAAATCATTCATTAAAAGAAGTGGTTCAAGTTCAAAATAGACCTTTTTCAAATATGCTATCCACATTGAAGAGAGGAATCTGGAAGTTCTCTGTGTTTCTGGAAACTGCTGTAGCTTCCCTGCAAGAGAGCACTAGTCCCTAGGGTGCAAAACGTTAATGACAGACAGCAAGTATTTTTTCTTCTCTGGGCACTTTGTATACATTAGGTGTTTACTAGTATTTCTGCAGCTCTTCTGTTAAATGATTGACAGTACACTACAAAACGTATACGTTATTTCTATAACTTGAGTAGCTCAATACTCTCAAAGCTCTAACTTCATAGTTTTAAAACTGAATTTAAAAAATCCCAGGACAGATCAAATCCTTTTTATCATGTTATCATTGACTTCGAGAGCTTACTCACTTGACAATAGTATCCTAAGTACGTCTGTGAGACCAGCAGAAATTCTTTAAAGAATACCAGTAACAGGATAATTTTTTTGCTCTGATTTTGTTCACTGAATTCTTAGTCAGTACACCTGCCCTCCTTTTGGTAAGTGCAAAGCTTCTTGACACACTCTCAAAGGACAAATATACTCACTTGCTTTTGTGTCTTATGGCCAAATTTACATTTCATGCTCTGTAGAAGGATATATGCTGCACCAGACATACCACCACCCACAGCATCAGCAAAAATGTTCTTGTACATTCTTCATCAAAGCACGCCCAGTTCAGATTTTACTGTGGCAGCAAACGATAAAACCAGTTACTCAAATCCAGCCCGCAGAATCCTGGCATTAACCAGAAATCTAGACAAATACCTAGTACAGTAATGATCACCTCCTCTCAAGAGACACTCTTGGCAAATTTCCAGAGCCCCAAGCCCCAAGAATAAAAGTTACTCTGCTGATTTTTATTTATTTATAGAGTCAAAAATAAGTGCAGAGATTGTAGAATCTGCAGTTATTTTTATTCTCCTCAGTAGGAGGATTTCGCTTTAGTAGGAGGTAAATTGCTCTCTGTTTACATTATCTGTAATATTTTGTAATAAAAGCTTGCAGTTGAGCAGCCTCGTCCTCACACTGCAATTACAAGGAGAAGGCTTTCATGGTCTGTGCTCTAAGACTCTGCAGGCCTCAGTTGGCCTTTTGGCCACGATTTGATCACCCTTCATTTTTGTAAAACCATGTATTATGCATCTTCAAATCTCCATCAGGGTCAAAGCATGGGAAAATTATTTAATAATCAAGTCCATGCCCAGTCCTTGCAGATAATTAGTTTTTACAGACCATTATCTATGAGTCTAGAGACCAGGGGCTCTGATTCCGCAGCGTACTTAGGCAAATGCTGAAATATTTATTCTGAATAAACTTAAGCAGGCACTAACTTCAGGCATATGGAGAGGTGCCTGATTGGTTACGAATGAACTTAACCATCCATCTAAATACTTTAATGTATTAAGACCTTGATTTCAACAGTATTATATATGAATTCATACACAGTTGGAATGCCAAGAACACAGTGACTTGCTTTTACGGCTGAGGTTGCACAGCAGCTACCAAATTGTGCATATCACCAACTTGATTAAAATAGAGAAAGGCATTCCATTTCTTGTTGTTTGTTTGGTTTTTTTATTTTATTTTATTTTACTTTATTGTTTTAAGAGCTATTTGAAGTGTAAAAACTTGATAGCGTTTCACTGTGCTCTCTATTCCACTAGAGGTCAGCCTGCAACAGAACCCCAAGCAAACACAGGAACTGCTGCACACTGGTAGCACTGACATTATTTTCTTTCTCTATTTTATCTATTAGAAAGATTTCTTCAGAGCCATAACTTAGATCTCTCACTAAAATGGAGCAACAGGAAGATATAATGGTGCATTTCATTTATGAATGACCTATAATAAATTACTATGAAGTATTCCAGGTGCCAAACGAGAGAATGCTTTGTCTGCACATGAACTATATTTCACATACTTTAATTTGGCTGACACATAAAACTCATTTGACATTTTGCAGGTATTTCTTTGAAAGGATATTTGGTTCTTGTTGAGCGTTAAGGTATGGAGGTGGGGTAACCTCGGTAACAGAAGGTCATTTCCGAGTAGGTTGTTGTCCAAGATCAGCTCTTCCAAGTAACTGAATGTTTTCAGTCCTTCTAGTGACCTGCAAACGACAAAGGCAACAGGAAAAATGATACTCCACTAAATCAGGGAGGCCATTATGAGCTGAAATAAATATTTTAACCTTCCCTTTCAGGAGTGGGAATAGTTTTGGTTTGGGCCTGTCAGAAGAGTGAATGACAAGCATTAGTGGCAAGGGGAGTGCTGGCACTGCAACACATCCTTCACATACTGGCAGGATGAAGGATGGGGGTCACTTAGTGAGTAGCCAGCATCCAAAACAAAAGGCTTCAGATATGGGGCCTGCAGGATGAATTTGTCAATGTCTTGTGCCTTCAGGCACCCAGCCTTGCCTGACCCTAACCTCCATTCCCAAGATAAATAACTCTGTCACAGTTCACCTTCATTCCCTGGACACAAATTTAAGTTGTCATCCATCATTTCTGCCAAGAAATATCATACCCTGCTAACAATAATAAATACAACTTCAAGTATCATTTCTTAGCAGTTACCTTACATGCAATAATAGGAAATGGAGAAAGGATTTTTTTTTTCTATTTTTATTTACCACTTAATTTGCTTCTCGAGTCCCTGCAAATGAAATAAAACGTTCTCTACAAAATAAAATGCAGAATTACTCCAGACAGAAAAGGCATTTGCTTTATTTTCAGAACTTACTGTCCCACTGTCAAGCCACAGGTCAGACTGCAAAGAGCAGCTTTAAAAAGGAGCATTTCACAACACCTAAGTGCAGATGGCTTGTAAATAAACAAGATTCTGGAGGTATTCATTCCTCTAATAGTAAAGTACAGGGAAAAAAAAACTAAAAAAACCACTTTGGTACCTTGTTAAGGCATCTATTCCAAACTTTATTCTTAATGCTTGCACATTCCAACAGGAAAAAAAAACCCACACATTAATCAACTAAGACGCATGGTATACAGAGCATACACACAGACATGCATTCACAGCTCATTCACCTACCAGACACCTAAAGATATGCTGAGATTGCATGACTTGACAGCTGATCTACTATGCCTACCAGTGGGAAGATCATCACTGTATCTCCTGGCTGTTTTATAAAATGTGATGAATAAGGGAGATGCAGTCTATACTATTTATTCAGTTTCCAATGACATTTATACTGAAGGGATTTCCTCACCCTCCTCCCATTTTTTTGGCAAAGATCAAAATACAGCCAAGGTGCCTGTTAGAGAGTTCCGCAGATGCTACTACTGGAGGAAAATAAAAATACCATAAGAAAGTATATGAGTTTCAAATTAGACAATTTAACATTCATCTGTCCAACAAAACCAAGAGACTGCTTCTGTAGATACAACTTACTGACTACTTATAAATCACAGTAGAGGGTTCAAACAAGCCAAAAAAAAAAAAAGCCAAACAAACAAAAAACCTAATCAAGTCTGTGACCTTTACACTGGGTAGTGTACGTTAAATCTATGAATATTCAAGTAACATTTGCACAACAGTGAAACAGTGTATTTCAGTCCAAGGACTCCAAAGCGTTCACAGCTTGTTGACTTGGCATTCTGAAAGGGGGCTACAACTATTGCTAATGCCATTTTGAGGCTGGGCAGCCAGACCTGAAGAAAATTTGTCATGCCTACACCCTATGGCACATCTATATCATTCCGATGCATTAAGACTACAACTTCTGAAGCTGAAAGAACAAAAGTCTCTATTATAAACATGATACTGAAACAATCGTCACAGTAACAGTCGCACTTTTTGCACTGGCCTTTAACAAGCTGTTTCAGAAAAACTCAGTTCAGCCTACATAAACTGTCCTCCATTAAAGAGCTGTGATAGCACGCTGTATGAAGCAAGCTATTTCAGCAGAGGGTCACAACAGATTTGGTGTTGCCAAAGTCAAGATCAGAAGAGAGATCAGCAAACATTTCAGGCAGTGCTTTCCCCCAGGTAGCTTTAAAAGGCTAAATAAACCAGAGGAAGTAACAGTGAGTTTATCAAGCTGTTATAAGTTTTCATTTCAGTCTATTTGACAAACCTAGTTTAGCAAATTCCCCTTAAATTCTCTTTATTATATAAAGAGTGGATTATTTCCAAACCTCACATTTCAATGTAAGACACTTTGACTTGCCAAAGGAGTTCAGAGAGGGCCACCTCCTTGTCAACACCACAGAGCCTTATGGGATGTTAATAGGTCCTTTGTGAAAAAACAGTGCTTGGGCTCTGGTCAGTGTCAGCATCAAAATACACATTGTTACTGAGTTATGTTATGCAAATATAATACTGTTATCATGAGAATCAGAAAATGGTTGGCAACTGGCAAGGAGAAGAAAGCACACATCCAAAACTGCTGCAGGGGAGGCATAAAACAAAATGACAAACCATGAAGTGGGACAAAAGGCCTTGAAACACTAGAGGGAGTTGCCATTGAAACCGCCTTTCTTTCACAAGCCGAGGCTGAACACAAGGGTACTAGTTTCATAGATAGGCAGAGAAAATTGTGCACAAATCTCCTTACACCTGTCTGATTTTGATAATTTTTGCCATGTAATGTTATTAGCTGCTCAGTTAAAAAGGAACTGTGTTACACAGAGGGTTGCTTATTAATTGTTGTTTTCATGTCATCAGAGCAGTGTGCACTTCGCGATTTAATCACCTAAATTCAAAGCCCAGGGAGATGGGAGGGGTTGCCACAGTACAGAGAGTGTGTATCCATTAACATAAATTTACATCCATATGCTATTTTGCTACTCACGGAATTCTTATGTTTTCATCTTAAATAGAAGAAAAAACTAGCCCCAAAACAAAATTGGCAAGACAGTTGATAAAAAAGGAAAAAAAAATGTGCCTGCTATCATTCAGTGATACTAGCTATAAAATTCAAGGCAACAATCTCTACCATCGTAGTACATAAGGAAATATCGCTCAGCAGTTGTACTCCACAATTTAGAAGTTTTAAGTACAATCCACACAATAGGTTTCATGGTAGAAACTTCAGCAAGTCCCGTAACTTCTACGTGCCTCAGTTTCCTACCTGCAAATAGGAGATAACATCACTTACTCAAGAAAGGATTGCAATCGTGAATTAGTATATAGAAAGCATTTTTGAGAAGCTGAGGTAGAAATGAGTACCAAAAACTGGAATTTTATTTTTAATGAGAGTAAGATAGTTATACTAATGTACTCCAAGTATTTCCATAGGAGCCCGTTATAAAATACAAAAGGAGTGTGTACATATACACAGTAGAGCAAGAAGCAAACAAACACCCTAAGAGAGAGGAGTCTAAAAAGAGGGAAATCCCCCGAGAAAGAGAATCAGTTTAAAATTAAATCTGTGCTGTTTTCTCATAGTTCACAGCAGAAAAATTGTCTCCCTGTACTGGTATATTAAAACAGACACACAATCTTACCACCACAATACAACCAGCACTGAAGGGGCAGTGGCAAGCAGTTGTATTCCCTAGTTTCAAAGGGCTAATAAACATCACTGAGGTGTATTGCAGGTTGCTTTTCCCTGCTCTAATGACATGAAAGCTGCCCATTATCTCACCCACAGGTACCATCTCAGTTACCTCATTGCAGGGCTCACACTGTGCTCCCAGAGGAGAGCAAGTGCTGCCAAGAGATTTCCATTGCAATTTCCAAAGTCACATCAAACCGACAAAACATCACAACGTATTCAGCGCCACCTCATTCAAACAGAAAAAACTTTACGTTTCCACTGTAATTAACCCTATCCTCGTTAAGATAATTATGATCAAGCTCCCTGTCACAGCTAATATCACAGCATCATTGCCTATGGCTCACGCTCTGCCCTCATTAGCTTACAAAAACACTGCGCTAAACAGGAAACTGACTCCCTCTGCAAAACGACTTAAGATGTTCTGTAAGCAGACAGTAAATAATCCTTTAGAATACAGAGGCCTCAGAAATGTCATTTTATCCATGTCCTTCGGCTAATCGGTATGATTTCTTCCAGCTTTCTTTTCCATAATTCATTCATCGTTTGTAACAAAGTTTTAATCATAAAGGAATGTCATGGCAGAGATTTTTTTCTCTATGTGTACACATGGCAATTGTCAACTACACTATTTCATACAGTCACTCTGGTCTGTCGGGGATTTGGTTACAATGAAATTAAAGAGCAGCTCTTCGCATTTTGGTAATATTTGACAATGAAAATATGAGATTTTATAAATGAAAAAAAGCAGAAGCCTCTCAAGTAATGGACAAACCTTGGTACTTCGCAGTTGTCCTTGTTCGGAAGAACAAGCTGTTCAGAAGTATATGCTGAAAAAGAAGCGTTCCTCACATTTTACCCCACCCCTCCATTAGTAAGACAGCTGCCTCATATCTAATGACTTTTTCCTCCTGTTTAACAGGAAAAGAGAGAGCAGTTAACAATATGTAAATGAGAGAGTTTGGCTTTTGCCTTGAAATTGATTTGCACTCTGTTGACAAGAGATAGCCATTACCAGAAGTTAAAGACAGAGCTGTTACAAAACAAGAGCTTTTTAAAATACCTTTTTTCTTGCCTTTTATGGTTTAACAAATTACAGAAGAGCAGAATCAACTCGAGAACCCTAGTACTAGATAATTTCAGTATTTAAAGAACGGAAATGTAATTTCTATTTCTCCAGCACCTGCCAGCCAAGGAGCACAAAGCATTTTTTAAAAAACATTAATGAATTACTCTTCAAAAACCTGCTGAGCTTAAAATTCCATTTTGTAGTAAAGCAGAGAGAGGTTAAGTGACTAACGAAAGGTGACCTCTAGCAATTTTCTAAGAGACAAGAAATAAAACCCAGAGCTCCTGACTTCTCGTCCTTTGACTTAACCTCACCAAAACAAAACAAAGAGCAATAAATAAATGCTATACATAAAAAACATAAGACAGGCACGTGTGTGAGTTTAGTTTTTGCATAACTCCCTGGGAATGCAAAACCGTTTCAGGTTTACTCGCTTTGATTCCTGTTCAATTTTAAATTACATTTAATCAGAAATATCACATACAAATAACAGGAAAAACCCAAGCCATTTCCAGTTCTGTTCTGATGGTGGAAGAGGTTCAGTGAATCTTCTGTGCAAAC